ATTTCAGCTCTATTGGCAGATACATTAATCATTTGAACAACTTCGACATAGTTACGCTTTTTTCATATAACTAACTCTCGAATATCAATTTTGATGGACTTGATATTCTGAGAGCTGAGATAACATCAAATGGGAAGGGCTCTTTTATCTTGAGTTATGTCGTATCATCGATAAAATTAAATAAGAAAACGTTATATTTAGTAAATGTGATTTATAAATAGCTTTGATATTATTTTATCAAATAAACAGAGACTATAACTTTATCTTAATATAACTGGAAATTTATACTTTTCACCAAATTTAAAAAAAAAACATTTATATCTTTAAAATAAAACACTGCGTTAAAGTAGCAGTCTGGTTACCTTCAACAAAATATGGTGGTCGTGGATTCTAATCCAGATTGTCGTGTGAAAGTCTGGTCATCTCTCCTCATTATGCCAGGCTTGTGCTAAAACACCTGAAACTATTCGTGGCACAGGTTGCAGGAGCAGCCGAAAGAGTGCAAAATGGACTTTTGTTTTGTTTGAAAAAATGGAAATGTAAAAAAATACAAACTATTTTTGAGGCATTTTATTTGTATCGTCACGTTTTTACAAAATACTATTATGATGAAAATACAAACAATTGGCTAGTAATTCTTGGACAAAAGTGAACGTCTGAAATAATATCTAATACACCAGTATATTGTAATTTCTGGAACAAACGTAAAAAATCTCACAACGAAATGTCTGGACCTTTAATGTTAATGTGATACTACGTCTTAGAATAAACATAAAATTTAATTCTCAAGACTGGTCAATATGAGTATATATTCATCAGTGAACTTACCCAATGTCATAAAGTTACAACAGAATCCCTGTAAAATCTTGAAAATTGGAAAATTCATAATACTAAGTAATTATTGAAGAACGCTTAATCATAATATTAAGCGTTTTTCAATAGTTAATTGCATTTTTATTAAGTTTTTTGGAATTATCGGATTATATAAGGATCCTGTTCTGTTATTTATAACACCAGGTATATCTACTGATGAATATATGCTCTTATTGGCCAAGTTTAAAATTTTCAAATTTTCTGTTTGTTCTAAGATGTAGTATCCCTTTAAATAAAAGCCAATGAAATAATTTGAGAAATAACTGATCTCAATGCCTCATTCCTAATTACACGTATACTTTGGAAATATATTCGTCTAAATGTTTGTTTACAACTGAGACCAAATGCTATAGCCTTTCGCCTTTCATGATGAAAATCTCTACGACCGGATATTGTCCATTTCGGACGTCAATAATGACATAAAAAATCAAATATTACCCGACTCTATTCCTTGAAATTAAAGAGAAATAGTCGTCTAAATTTTTGCTAAACCTGTCTATAAAGCTGAATTTCAGCTAACTCATTTAAGAATCAAAATCAGACACCCAGTTCTCCAACAATAAAAGAAAAACGCATTCGTTCAGTCTGACTTTTAACTTTCTATGTTGATACCAAGAATTCAAACACGCATAGTCATATGCAACTGAATTGGATAATGCAATAGAAAGTGACATCAGGTGTTCAGGCAAGGTAAGCTGCCGTGCAATCTGGCCATTACATAGTAATATCAATAAATGTAAAATCTTTGATTTGTTTGACTATTTTTAAGACAGGGAAAATTTTGTACAAATTTACAGTACAAAATACAAAAAGATGAAAATATAAACATTGCACATAGGATATTATATTTTATAAAGCAATATACAGAACATTTAGCACATATTATGCACATGTATAACATAATGAGCAATTTTTTTATAAGTTACACCAAAAATGTGAATTTAAAGGAAACAGCTTTGTAATTATATTATTGATCAGCTCATTTTAAAGGGGGAAAACAGTCCACTTCTATGTTGCTTTAAATATTTTTTTTCAGTTTTAAGTCAAATCCAATCACTTTCACTGAAAAAATTGTGACCATTTGTGAGCGAAGATATTTGAGTAAATACCGTCCACTGAGAGCATAAACATTAAAGTCCACTGTTTTTACGTGGTTGAAGGGGTAATAATCATTGTATACTTTCAGCATTTTATTCAACTTCAAAACAAAATAAATTTTTCATGTTCATGTTTGGAACTTAAGTTTCAGTTATCCATAACACTTTTCAAAATTAAGATCTTGCATCTGGAACTACAACAATTCAAAAAAAATTATGCACACATATCAAAATCATGTTCATATATGTGCACAAATGTCTGTGATCAACAAGAAGTATTTAGAGGTTTAAATAATCAAAAGTAACATAACACAAATCTGTATATTGCCCTTTCAAAAAAGGCAAATGTGATAACAGAAAATTATTTAAACATCTGTGCTCAATAAAAGTTTATTATTTTGCAAATAACCAAAAAAATTCCCTCAATTATGCCCAAAATATAATTAAATACTCAAACTGAAATAAATAAAATGGTGGAAAAAATATAAAAAAAAATAATTAAGCACAACCTAATTAATAATAATTATCAATTCCCTGATATGTCTTTAATAAAATAATTGAAATAAATGAATTAAGCAGGTGGCCTGGATCTTTTGTCCAATGTATGAAATAAAATTTTAGATTTCAAAACCAGATCTAAATACTAACCTTAATTAAAGGGATTGTAAAGAGGTTTTTAAAATTTGTTATTTATATAGACACTGAGAGAATCAATGAAATGAATGGAGTTTTACGTCCTACTCTTCTGCACCTTGTGGGCTAATGAAGACGGGCAACGCCATGCAGGGTGCCATGAGGGAAATTTTGCTAGGACAGCGGCATTAGCCTGCTCTTTTTCGATTTCCAACTGTCAAGGGATCTTTAACGTGCACAGCCTGTAGCACACAAGGCCTCGGTTTATTGTCCCATCCGAACGACTAGACGCTTTTTCCATGTCAGCCCCTCTTACCTGCATCACTGACAGGGGGAAACCGGGTTGAAAAATCCGAAGGTATTATCTCGACCTATGCCGGGATTGAACCCTGGACCTTCAGGTTAGCGAGCAAGCGTCTAACTCACTGAGCAACCGCGGCTCCCCTGAGTGGAATTGCAGGAACCAAAGATGTCTGAATGGTTTAAATTGATGCTATCAATGTCCCTGATAAACATAAAAAAAAATTAAGAAAAAACCTCTTTACAATCCCTTCAGGCAAAAAAAAAAATTCAAATCCAAATACCACAGTATTGATACTTCTTTGGACTCTCAATGTTGACAAACCATGTAACAGAATGGTATCAGGTGATTCAGAAGGTTTCTCATTCCCTGCCTTACTAGTAAATGATTAAATTTCTATAAAAAAATGTCTGGATTTTTATTGTTGACTGTTACTTTGTGAATATTCTATGCCCTTAAAAAAATGAACATTGGTTATATGGAAACAATGCAAGTACCCTATATTATAATGGAACATTGGGAGTTTAATTGCACAAAAAAACAATGAAATATACAGAAATTATATACACAGCCTGGTATATTACATACAAACATAACCACTTTTAAAGTCACACTCTTCAAGAATTACAAAGAAAATTTTGAATGCACCAGTGTATCTCATAATTATGCATTTCAGGCTTACAACTATTATTATAAATAGCTATGCAAAATGAATACAAAATTTTAGACCAATCAAATGTCAGGTTTTGATATTGAAAAGGAATACATTTGAGACAGACGCTTGCTCGCTAACCTGAAGGTCCAAGTTTCAATTCCGGCATAGGTCGAGATAATACCTTTGGATTTTTCAACCCACTTTCCCCTCGTCAGTGATGCGGGTAAGAGTGGCTGACATGGAAAAAGCGTCTAGTCGTTTAGATGGGACAATAAATTGAGGCCCTGTGTGCACGTTAAAGATCCATCGACAGTTGGAAATTGAAAAAAAGCAGGCTAATGCCACTGTCCTTGCCTATTTTCCCTCATTGCACCCTGCATGGCATTGCCAGTCTTCATAAGCCCCCATGGTGCAGAAAAGTAGGACGTAAAAATCCATTCTTTTCATTTCATTTAGTTTAATCAGTATGAATAACTATAAATAAATAAGTGATCCACAACACAAAACCAAGGGTCAATTTTTCAACCAGGTGAAGGTTTTGTGTTGAAGGATCCACATAGCTTGAGTGTGACCTTAATTTTCTACTCCTCTAAACACATGATATGTAAAATGGATACAAATATAGGAAACAATGGAATAGACAATTAACAATTTGAATATCAGCATCACCAACATTGCTGTCAGAACCAACATCATGGATGCCAAAAGGATGTAGACGACACAAAATCAGATTTGGTTCAAAAAAACTTAAGGCAACAACCATATAAGAAACCAGGCTGAATGGAAACAGGTCAAAATTGCAAACACAAGTATTCAATTTATAATTGTGATTCATCAGAGACTTGCCTATATCTAAAGCCACTATCAGTGCCTTCGAAATCCTTATTTTCTTTTAGCTTTGATAACAAATCTTCATTTGTTCTTACTTACAAAATCTACAATTCTGTTTCACTTTCAAAATCTACATTATCCAATTCTGTCCACTTTCAAAATCTATATTATCCAATTCTGTTCACTTCCAAAATCTACATTATTCAATTCTGTCCACTTTCAAAATCTACAACATTATCCTATTATGTCCACTTTCAAAATCTGTATCATCCAATGTTTTCATTTGTAGAATGTAAATTTTCAATTCTGTCCATTTTCAAACTGTACATTTCATATTCTATTCACTTTCAAAATGTAAAGAAATTCTGATTAGTTTGCTTTTATCTATATTTACCATTCAGTTCACTTTCAAAATCTACAATTACCAATTTTATTCAGTAATTTTTCATTTCGAATTCTTAAGGATTTGTAGCAGAATCATTGATAAGAAGCTTGGAAATTCCAATATAATTTCAGAACACAACCAAGTATCAGGAAATATAAGAACATTATTTATGGTCTGTCAGCAATATGCACCAAAATAGTCTAAGGGAGGTAACTCTAATTTTGACTAGCTGTCGTCTGGAAACAAGTCAGTATAGCGTTTTTGGAAATATTCTCTCATATCATGACCAGCTTTTCCCACTTCTGACTCATCTTCATTAAATGTTACACAATTATCAAACACTAGATGTGCATCACCGGCAAATTCTATACGTGACTTATATCTGAAATAAAAAAAATGTCAAATTAAAATGAAATGAAATGAATAAAATGCAATGAGAAAAATGGCTTACTCTTTTGATTTTCAATTGATATATCAAATCAAAGCTGGAATAATGGCAGGAAGTAAAGTGTCACAGATTGGATCTTAGGAATAGGCTATCTAAAGGTGCAGGCACACGTGCGGTCTTGTAAAGAGATTGTCGGCGACTAGAGTCTTGTCAAGAGTTTCATCATCTGGCAAGGGCACACAAGTAGACAAAAATCTCCAGTTGGTCGTTTTCCACCTTGACGATAATCACATGCAGAGCATGCAATTGAAAGGAAAATGAATCTGATTGGATGATGACAGTCTGTCTTGCAGGAGATAAAACTATAGGAGACAATTATCAAACTTGTTTAATATGACAATGTAAATTGTTGAAACATTGTGTGTAGTAAAACTAAGGAGTAGTATACCATAAAATTGTGTTCAGCAATTTACTATATCTATATATGTAAACTTGCTAATAAGAGGCTTCAAACTTACAAATTATCCCTGAGTTTAGTTTTCATTGTGTTAAAATCCATAGGATGTTTGATTATTTTGCGATAAGATGGAAATTGTTTTCCGTTGACTGGTTGTAAAAATGGCCACCCTTCATCATGTTTCTCCATATCAGATAAAATAGTTCTGAAAAACAAATCAAATACATATATTTTTGTTGATACACATTTGGGATATAAAATGTATTGTATGGGCAGCTAGGTTTAGAATGGGAGTTAAAGGGACAGATGTGCCATCTTGGGGGGTCGATATTAGTCTTGAATATAGGTAAATAGTCTTCAGAGGTACAAGAATATATATGAAAATCGCATAATTCCTTTAAAAATACTTCAAACTAAGAATTTTACTCACTATTTCTATAAATATCTAATATATATCACAGAGTATCATAAATTGATGAGTCGTCATTTTAACATTCAAACGCGGATACTTCTGGTCACACATGGTTTTGAAAGCTAAAATTTCGACTGAGAGCTGTGAACACTATTACTGATTGGCTTACCAAAAAAATTCCTGTTTCTGAGACTAAAGTATGATTGGTCAAAAAGAATGGTGCATCTGTCCCTTTAAATATCTTTGAAAGAGTCTAAACACTTGAACACTGAGTGCCATTAAAAAGAGGTTATCTGAGCACTAAGTTATATGAAAGATTCATCATATTCTTTCCTATATGTCCTTCATATAACTTGGTTGTCTTCCACAAAAAATAAGAAACATGATTCTTAGCCAAAGTTTACTTACTTGCACAAGATGAGATCAGCATCTCTTGTGACACTAGGTGGTTCTTTTTTCTTCTTTTCAACACTAGGTGGTGGTGTAGGAGTTGGTGACTCAGCATTATTACTCTCTGTGTCTTTTTTATCAGACGTCAATGATAGAGACTTCTTCTTAGGTCCTCGTTTACCTCCCTTTTTAGTCTTCTTTTCACAACAGGCAGCACATTGCCACTTCTTAGGCAGTCTAGAATATAAAATATCCACAATGATCGTTTTTTGTGATGATAGTTTGATACCTTGATTTCTGTAGCCGCATTGATTGCTATACAACCACATTGATTATTATTTGCCCTTATTATTATAAGGTAGCCACATTGATTATAGGCCAAATTGATGACTGTCTACTGTGAAGCAACATTGATTATTGTGTAGCCACATTGATTACTAAGTGAACACACTAATTATCATATGACCAAACTGAATACATTAAATGTGAACACCCTTATTAGCATATGACCAAATTGAATACAATACATGTAGCCAAAATGTAGCCACATTGATTACTATGTCAACACACTTATTAGCATATGACCAAATTGAATACAATACATGTAGCCAAAATGTAGCCACATTGATTACTATGTCAACACACTTATTAGCATATGACCAAATTGAATACAATAAATGTAGCCAAAATGTAGCCACATTGATTACTATGTCAACACACTTATTAGCATATGACCAAATTGAATAAATAAATGTAGCTAAAAGTAGCCACATTGATAACCATGTGAACACCCTAATTATCATATGCCCAAATTGAATACAATAAATGTAGCCAACATGTGGCAATGTTGATTACTATGTCAACACACTTATTAGCATATGACCAAATTGATTACAATAAATGTAGCCAAAATTAAATGCTGCCATTAAAAGCCTTTAAAATTTAAGGAATACAGGAATTGACTTTCTCCAAATGTACAGACCCAAAGGCTCTGATACCTCCAGGTATTGATACTTTGCAGCAAAAAGTATTCACAATTCAATTCATTTCATCATTCTTCATCAGTTCTGTCTAGCATAATTTCGGATATCAAATAACAGAAATTTCAAAATGTAACACATACCTATGTAATGGAGGATCTAGACAATCAATATGAAAAGCTCTAGGACACTCATCACATTCTACCAATTTACCAATTCTCTTTCCACATCTAATACAATGAGATGCACCACTAGCCTTTAAAGACAAGGAAATAATTAGAAGATATTCATTTACAGAAATGTAACTAATAACCATTGTTGAAATTGAAATATCACATGACAGCCTTTATAAGCACTAATGAAATGAAATGGTGTAATTACCTTTGAAATACATTCATAACAATACCAATCACCATCAGGTATGATATCCATTTTAGGTTTAAAACAATAGGTATGATATCCCTTATCACATCCATCACATAGTAATAACTGAGCTTCATTATCATCTTTACGACAAATTTCACATTTCTGGAAAGAAATAAACTTACATTTTAGGGTATCCTATCATTAAATTTCACATTGCCAAGATTTTCGATGAATTTATTTTGTGATGAATATAAATATAGATCTTTATGCTGAATAAATATTTATGTGTGTCTGCACTTTCCTTCATTTTGAAAACCTCAGATATGTTGGTATCTTTTCACTCTTCCTAAATGCAGACTTCTTGACACCAAATTGCACCACAAAATACATCACTGAACTTACAACTTTCATGATAGACTTCTCCCAAGATATAGAAGAACTGAGTTGATTGACACATAAAACAAGTTGAGCTGGAGACGCAACCTTGGCAACCACATTCCTCCATGTTAACAAACCAGGTGTGGCATCATGTTCTATTTCTTCTTCATCATGGTCATGTGATCTACTGTCATTGTTAGACATGTTGGCCATATTTAACGCAACACTGAAATAGAAAGACAAAACTTTGCAAAGTCATCTTCTATTTTCATCATTTTAAATTGTGTATCTATTATTGCAAAAGCAGTTGCCATTGGGGAAAAGGGAATCAACCCTTCAGCTGCTGGATTTGGTCTCAGTGATGCACGAAGTCCAAAATAGTACCATTTGCTGTGAAAGATGACGTTAAAAGCCAAATGCTTACAAGACAAACTTACTTTTTACTAAGAGGTGGTTTAAGATATCTTCTCTCAATATTAGACTCGAGTAACAATAGTCTTTCTTTAGCAATATCCAATGGATGACGTTGATTCTTGTTTTCTGGAGTCTTACGTCTGCTGATGAGTTCAAGGCTAGGATCATCTGTTGCTTTGGCTATTGATTTCCAACCCTGAAAATATTGTAAAAACTTGTTGTAAGAAATTTATTTTGAAACACTTTACAATATAGTTCATTTGCTTGATTACATCAAACAAAATGGTGGTTGTGGGTTCTTACCTTGGTAGTAGCATTAAAAGATCAATTTTCAATATATAAAACAGAATTCAAAGTCAAATATTTTGTTTCAGAAGAAAAGTCCAATTGATGCAATGATTGACATATGTTTTCCAATGACAATTGACTGTCTATCCGATATATGGCAATGCATATTTCTCTCAGACAACTAAAATCATCTCACCTTAACTTGTAGACTGGCCTGATAAATCCTAGATTCCAGAGCTTCCATTGTTTCTAGTGCTGACAGATCACACTCATGTTCCACTTCCAGGAATAACTTCTCACTATCTTTCGATAGTTCTGATTCTAATTCCTTCTGTTCATCACTTATTGCTTGTTTATTAGGGTCACTTTTACATACTGAAATGAATGGAATGAATTGAATTGAATTGAATTGAATTGAATTGAATTGAATTGAATTGAATTGAATTGAATTGAATTGAATTGAATTGAATTGAATTGAATTGAATTGAATTGAATTGAATTGAATGGAATGGAATGGGATTTGGATTTGGATTTGGGTTTGGGTTTGGGATGGGATGGGATGGGATGGGATGGGATGAAATGAAATGAAATGAAATGAATTTTGTTCAAGCAAATTTCCCCAATTGTGCATTGAATTGAGTGTCATCATGAGCTAAGTCAGGAGCAGAAAGTAATGATCCAAAACTACACATTTTACATTTCTTGATAGACAAGGCCCTTCTTTTTTGCCAATGAGATCCCGATATTAAACAGGATATTGATACAATATCAGTCTCCTCTTTCCCCTACCAAACTTGACAATAAAAATATTTGTTGCAGAGAAAGGACCAGCTTCCCATCAAACTAGCAATCAGTCCAACTCACCATTTTTCTTGCCAGTATTGATGACATAATTTGGACAATCAACATATCTCTGTAGAACTTTCACTAATTCCTTTTCACGAATTCCACGACAATGAAGGCACTTGACTATTTCTTCTAATTCTTCACCTGATGCCACTCTCCACCAACCTTGCTGTTTTTCTGGAAAAGGTAATCAATCAAAATGAAAAAACAACAATGGTTTTCAAATTCGAAATTATTTGAGTTCCAGATCTGTACTGACAGAGTTTTGTTAAGTATAAATTTCATGTTCCTAGCTTAATTTCAGTTGGCTGAAAATGTCTCGATACAAAAGTGATTAATGTTGAAAGTGATGTTTCAAAAAAGAAAATTTTTAAAACAAGAATGCTAACCTAATGGAATGGGCTGAGCTTCAGGCTTATTTGGTTTAATATCATCACCATGGCAACTTGAAGTTGGTGTCTCTGAAGGATTGGTTGGAACCTTAAAATTCATAATGTCTGTTAATTCTGAAGCAGCAGACATGTTAGATAAATCCAGTGAATTGTTGACAGATGGAGCTGCATTAAGTTGTGACGCTAACATTGGGCTGGATACATTGAAAGGGCTGATGGGTAATAACGATAAATATGACAATGAATTATTGGATAAATTTGATGAAGGTGTATTCTGTTGATTTTGCGATGAGCGTGTCAATGAAGAATCATCACAAGGCATTCTGGGTAAAATACTGAACCATGGTCTATTGTCAAGAATGTCTGTATAACTTCTGAAATTGTAGTCAGTAACCAAGGGAGATGGTGGGAATATATTGGTGGGTAAGAAATGATTAAGATTATTATTGTTTTCTGTTTTTTCTTCCTCCATCTTGTCTTTTGGAGCTGTGTTGGATTCTTTCTTGAGCAAGGCATCTATACTCATGAAACTTGGTTTGACTTCTGCAGGTTTGGTTGTCATGGATACAGATGATAATAATGTTGATGATGATGATGTAGTGGGTGTGCTTGGCACATTATCAAGTGAATTTGTTAATTCCTTGGACTCTTTTGAATCACTGTCTTTCACTTCAGAGTCATTGTCAGATGTTTTTGAAACATCAGTTTTTGGAATGGACGAATCAGTTTCCATTTTGTCATCTACCTCGGGAGTTACCCCATTAGACAAAGAATTGCACGCACTTTTATCATTTTGATTACTTTCACTAGTTTCGTCTTTTTCTGATTTGATTTCAGAATCACTTTCACTTTTAACTTCAGCACTTTCAGATTTAATCTCTATGGGTTCACTTTCTTTCACTTCTGCCTCTTTTGGTTCCTCTGAGGTCACTTCCTGTTTGATTTCTTTTTCCACTTCAGCCTTGTCCTTTTCACATTCCTCCTCTTCTTTGATGGCATATTTCAGCATATTTTCTTGATAGCACTCTGGATCAGCAGATTCTATGCCCTCTATATACATACCACCACAGTATGGCAGGACCCAGTATTGTCTCTTGTATCTATCTTCTCCATAAGGAACTGTTCTCAGTTTAATAGAGGCATTGTTGACCTTGTTTCTATAGTTACCATGTTGCTGAAAAAATACAATTTTTGAGATTGAAATTCTTTTTCAGAACAAATTATACAGAAATATGGTTGAAATCTTTCCAAAAGCAGGAGGGCAATAGGTGGGCAAAGTGGGGAAAATAGGAAAGATTTGCCTCAGATGTATCAAATAAACAATATGTGAACTCTCTTAAAGGGATTCAGACACAGAGTGGCATCAAGTGTTTCAGCCTCACAAGCCTATATAATACATTCAACAAATTATATGAACCACCATTAGCACCTTCTATACATATTCTAGCACATTCAATATCAAATTATTTACCTTGGTGAGTTTTTCAATCTTCTTTTCACATTCTTCAAGTGTAATATCATCTTCCTGAAGAAAAAATTTGAATTTTGTAGCACTTATCAAAACAATATCAATATTGTTGACAACAAAATGTTTCAAAAGCGCAAGCGCAACCTAAAAATACTACAGCCTGAACTCTTTGATGCCAAAGGAAGTGCTTGCCACAGATTTCCTAAATGAATTTCGGTTCCAACCTGCAACTTTGAGAGAAGTCGCACCCTGCAAAACAATTTACCTCCTCAGAAAGATTTCCACCAGTATGATTTGTAGCGGTTGTAGAATCACTCTCATGTCCACTATCTATCTCTTTCTCTTCCAGATCATCTAACTTGGCTATATCATCTTCACTACGTTTACTAGCAGTTGACATATTGGTACTCTCTCCTTCATCACCAGTTACTTTATTATTCTGTTTATGAAACTTACGTACTTGTGTCATACGGAGTCTGAAACAAACAACAATGATGAATTTTGTCTTCGTAATTAGAAACACCACATAAGGATAATTTTTCATCTATGCATTTTATTCATATTTCAAGAAGAAAAATGTAAAGTCGGCAGAATTTTGGAATTTTCCTGTAAAAAATACAAAGCAAGTTCCAGAAAAATCGGGATGATCAAGAAAGTAATCCTGATCTGAATTTAAGATTAGGTTACAAGGCTTAAGAATGCTTAACATTGAATTTTGGGATTACTGATGTCATGTTTCAGATAAACCTAATTTTATTACATATATTTACAAGTTGTACTGAATTTTGTCAATTTTTCAAAATATATCTCAAATGATTTACAAATAAAATAATAATTTCATATTTTTACTTTCTGAGTTTTCCTTCCACAATCCATTTATCTCTTCTCATATTGTTGATAGAATCTATGTTATGTTCAATTTCACTGAAAAATATCATAGAAAATTAGCTCTTAAAAAACAATTTTTTACTTTGGATAGTTCCATTATTATTTTTCATGAGTTAACTGATCATTATGAGCAAAATACAGTCAAGAGAGTCCATTTTTTACAGTTATCACAAACATAAAAATAGAAAGATACACATATTCCAAGTTACTACTATGTTTTTTTATACATCATAGAAAACATGTCTGGTTTATTTGAGACTCTTAATGTTCATGGTTTTGGTCATTTGAGCAGCCTGTCAGTCGAGTACGGCATATAGAACCAAATCAACAACCCTGATTTAACCTACCTAGTAATTGTACGACTAGACACTAATTCATCACACAGGAATGCTAGAATCTTGGCTTTATAGGTAGGATTTAAAGCTTCAAGTGGATCATCTAGTAAACATTTTGTTAACTGAAACAGCAAATTTGGAAATTATTCTTCAATTTATAGTAAGTAAAGTAAAGGTCGGTTGATTAATTTATTGAAGCACATCGCCTAAAAGCTTGAATAACAGTACAATTAAACTCATTTTATAAACACTTATATTATATTTCATATAAATGAAAATGACACAAAAAGGTTACAAGAAAAGGTTATCATCAAGGTGGGATTCAATTTGTCAAGTAACAAAAAACACCCTGAATTTTACAATGAGCTCTTCCAATCATACATAAAAGTATCATACTGATAGAAAGTATGCATGTGTGGAATAGTTCACTTAAAGGTCGAGGGGTATCAAATGGATGACTGGTGCACTGTATTCAGTCTTTGTTTATCATGAGTGTGTAAATTAAAATGTATGATATTAAATTATGTATTTAGATTTTTTTTTATGAAAAGAGCTCAGACGGACATACCTCATTCTCCCCTCCATTCCGACATCGTATAAAGATACGTAAAACTTCTGATAATAATGTTGGTGTGATGTCTATATCGCTTATCTTCTGTCCTAGTTTTGTTATACCCTAAAAGAAACAAATTGCATTTATGTTACGTTCAATACCACTCGTGAAAATAGTACGTGTGTTTACGACTTTCTCGAAGAGCGAAAATCGTGCGCAAAACTGGAGACAATATTCACGACTTTGTAACTTAAGATGGACGACGAAATAATGTTAGCCATTTTTCCATGAGGTCAAGGTGAAGGCCGTAGAAACTGTGAAAATGGGTGTCGTAAATTTTTCTCTATATTCACGACTTCCTAAAGTAGTAAATACGAGAAAAACCAACTATCGAACGGAAATTCACAACATTAACCCTGTGAACACAGTAATCACGAGAGGTATCGAACGCAGCATAACACTACAAGATATAGCCCTCTAAATATTTCTTAGGTTATAGGGCTCAATTTCAGCCATCAAAAGGAGAATATTTGTGGTCTAGAACCTTAACTCTATCAATATTAAGCACATGCAATTACCTCTCTTGGATTAGGCAGTCCAGGATCTTCTAAAGCAAATCGTAACAGATGAGTGATCAACGACAAGAAATCCTGGACATCATCTTCTTGTCTGTTTAACAGAGCACTTTGTAGACTCTCTAGATTCAATAGGGAATCAGCATCTAAAAGACATATTTGATAGATAAACAATCAAAAACAGTAAGCGAAAACTCTACTGTGAGCAATAACACTTAAAGAATTTAGAAAATGACTTTAGAAAGTGCAAAAACTTGCTGCACAGTGTTCAGCAAACTAAAATCAGTGCAAAATCAAGATCTATATTCAATGTTCATTACATATAACATTTTTTGACAGGTTTGTCCATTGCCAAGTTAACGAGGAGCCCATTTCGCTCAGACCATTAAGTGGTGTGCATTGACTTAGCATAAAAGTTATTTTCTAAAAATTCTTACCTAGGCCAAGAGCATCACCAAAGTTATGAAGAAATTCTACAGTCATAAGACAATCAGCATAGGCTTCTCCTGATAAACTCATTCCATTAATACGACCAATTTCTGGGAAAGGCTAGAATAAGGAAATCAATTATGGTCAAAAGACTAAAATTTGGATGTACACTGTTATCATTTTTTTGATGACAGATTCACATACAAAGATAATTTTAAGAAAATATCCTAGTGAAATATCGTGGGTGACCGCTTGAAACCTTGTATATGCCATATTTGGTCATTTTGACTTTATGGTACCGTTCGAAAGCTCGTAAAAGCGCAGATCTTGTGATCAAAACCTCGTATTCTTTGCTTGATTGTAAATAACTCAAAAAGCACTAATTAAATAACATGTATATAAACAGTCAGATTTAAAAACCTCATAAAATATATTATTATACGAGGTTCAATGTTCCTTTTTCTGTAGATGAAAATGAAAAACCTCGTATACTGTATTATTATACGAGTTTTTGTTCAATAGGCCGGTGATCTCAAATTGTTATACAAGGTTTATATTTTCAAACAATGAAAACCACGTACAGCAGTAAAAAAAATAATAAAAAAGATTTTAACAAAATATGCGTACAAAAGTACGAAAAGTAATTCTGCATCATATATCGTTATACGAGGTTTCAAGCATTCACCCACGATATCTTTCATACACAATCAATAATAAATACACTCCATTTAACTATTATATTTTGAAATTTTGGTAAAAGTATGTATATGCCAGTCCAAGTAAAAGCATAAAGATTCACGATAAGATAATAAGACTTGATTCCCACCTTATGATCAGTGAGTTCCATGTCTTCTACAGGTCTCTGTAACTGTCGTGCTATTTCAATCTCATGTTGTCTCTGTACCAGTCGACGCTCTGCTAAAAGTTTTCTCTCTTTCTCCTTCTCTTCACGAAGTTTATCGCGTTCTTCCTGTTTCTTTCTGTTCTCCAGAGTTTTTAACAGAATCAAATGCTGACGACGCCTTTCTTTTTCCTGGGATAAAAAAACAGACATATTCTTTGATGAAACTGCCTGATACCCCATTTTGGAAAAGATGTCAGCAATACAGTTGTACAAAAAGTCACTAGGCTAACGAATGGTCAAGGATGTTTGCATATAGTGCTGAGCTCAATTATTAAAAGCTATAACATCAAAATTAGTAAATTAACTAAAAGCTTGACTTATAACATTTGTAAACTTGTTTAATAAATCTAAATTTAAAGATATTGTTATTGCTTTACCTGTTCTCTAAGTATTACTGCCTGTTGACGCTTCATTTCTCTTTCCTGTAAAATTCAAAATTTGTTATTTTATGTTATCAATTTGAAATAACAATTTTTATATATCATTTGAATAACAGATAATTCTAAAAGTATGTGCTAGATTCAATTGAAGTGAATACGAAAATATATACATAATATAAATATTATTCAAATTCTGAACAATGTCCAAATGTGGTTTTAAAGAAACCTAACACAACTGAAAAAATGAAAACACTTTCTGTGTACGTATTACTTTTCAAAATCAAAATTTCACATAGTTTGTCTACAATCAAAAAATAGGGCTTAATGTCAATGCTAATTGCGACTTTCCAGTAATCTATTGTCATTGAAAAAAGGGTCTGGATAAATGAACTTAGTATCGATATCACTTTCTTTGACGAAGTTTTTTTTATTGTCAAAGAACAGAGGGTAGCTTTAATTGAATTCTATCAGCTGGAAACTGAATGATTAGATCACTTCATTTTAATTAATTACTTAATTATTTCCACATGCAAATTACAGAAGCAGAAAGAGCATTTGCCAGAAATTAGCAGCAAAAAATATTTGTAAAATCAGTTTTCTTTTTTTAAAACATAAAAAGTTGGGTTTGAAAAAGACCAAGAGAAGACAACATGCAAATTTCATAGATTCTCCAAAAAAAGAGGGAGAAATGTTAGGGCATAATATCATGAAGTAATTGTCCAAAAATAGTAGAGCGTAACTAAGGAAATAAATGAAGTCATGCAGCTGTATAGATTGGACCATGTTACATTAAGCGAAAGAGTTATTTGCATTTAGGGTTTTAGAACTTGACTATACAACTTCTATGTCAAATAATTTGGAGGCTGATTCAAAGGAAATTTGATGCATGTGCTTGATTTAAATGGTTTGGTCTTCTAGTTCAAAGAATATGAAATCTTTTGATCACAAGTAATAGTGGTTTTCTTCTTAATTCATTTTGAGTAAACTAATCCAACAAGCTGATTTTTTTCTCACTCTGATTGGTCAAAGATAACTGGTATGCAAATGATGCAAGTTTCATTCATTGGTGTCCTATACACCATAATACGTAGTGTCGGGTTCAAAATTAACTGATTGTTGGATCAAGGGATGTCAGACCTGTACTACTCCTAGTACCCTTGTATTATAAAATTCTGCTTTATCAAAAAATACCAAAACCAAAACAGCCAGCAAAACCAAAACAACCAGCTAGTATGCATTTTTATTTGTAAGAAATTAGGTCAAATCAAAATAACACATGCATTTCAAAGAATTGATTTTGGTTGTAATGTCAAGTATTTTGTCACCCAATAAAAGAACTTACTCTTTCCATTTGAAACCAAAGTAGGTTGGACTGTAAAAAATAAACATAAGTTGATCATAAAATCAAAGAAATGATATTTTGATTAGCATGCATATTGTACCTATGAAACATGCAGACATTCATTTCATTAGAGGGGAATAACAAGCTGAAATCAAATTTTTATACCAAGCAGAGCTTTTTTTTCCAGATAACCAAAACCATAACCAATATCAAAAAGATGAAAAGATCTTTCAAACAAACAAATCTCATATCAGGTTTATTTACAATTAAATAAACTAACGTCTTTTTTAGCTTATTATATGTTTTTAATTGAATTACAGACAAACTCAATATCAGAATCTAAATATAAATCTTTGGTTGTATTTTGGCAATATCTTTACTTCAAGAAACTGGAAACAAGCCATGATTGATATAAAACTATGGAAATAGGCTTTACATTCCTCTATCTATTCTATTATCAACTTTTTTTTACTGCTATATTTTGGCAAATGCTCCTTACATAAGAAGATATAATGGAAAAATCCTACAGTATTTTTGGACACAAAAGGGAATGGAGTGGACAAGGGGTTGTTGATGTTGAAAAAGTGCTTGAGCTAGAAGAGAAATGGTCATTTTTTGACCCATTTGCTAATGAATTTGCAAAGGCATGCAGCATGCAATAAATGACAAACAGCTAAGAAATGCACAAGCACGGAGTAAAAAGTCTCATTTTTGTCATGTCAGCTTGCATCACTAATGGAGAAACAATGAAAAGTGGTTAGTCCTTCCTTTCCTGACTCATAAACAATACTTTCTATTATTTGACAACAAAATGGTAAAGTTATCTCCAAAAAAATTCCACAGAAAAATAGGATGTAAAACTCCATTCATTTCAATTTATTTCCAAAAAAATTCCGTCATGACTTAAAGACAAAAATTTCAATCAATTTTGAGATTTAAATTAAACTTCCAAAAGTACTTGATATTCCGTATACAATATGAATAAAGAACCAAAAAAATTTCCATCTTCATTGTAATCTAAAAAAATTCATAGCATAATGTTGACGTTCATTTCAACCAATAAGAGCGTGTGATGCAGAATCTGTGTCTAAATATATGAATCGTAGAATAACGAATCCCAAAGTAGAGCAATATGACTTTCGCAATTATGAAGAATAAAGAGACTTTTAGAGACTAAAAGTGATTCTGACTGGCAGGAGAGTGATGCATGATTGGCTGCTATAAATAGCTTGAAAAGTCCCCAGTAAGTATAAATCTTGTTAGATTACAATAGCGACCAAAAAAAAAATATATAAAATTAGATTATATACATAATGACACGTGAAATTATAATGTGATCTACAAATAATCTGAATCAAAAACTTCCAAATGATATTATGATTTTTTTCTTGTTATTTCAAATGTCATCTTAAGTCGTTTGAACAATTAAAAAAAGTCCCAAAAAATCTATAAAAATCAATTGCTTAAAAGACTTATACCTATTAGTTTTTAAATAGATGTTAATAAATCTTTGAAAAAAATTGAAAATTAAATTCAGCCAAGAACAACCAAGTGTGCATAAATTCAAGAAAATACTAAAAACTGTACAGCACAAAAAATTCCAGAACAAAAAAGGTGCAAAAAATGGGTAACCGCAAACATGAAAACAAACCTTCGCTTTACGAAGAGTTTCAGCCAATCGTTTGTGAGCTTGTTGATCACGTTTATTTTGACGAGCCTGAACAAGCAACAAAAATATTACCATGACAGCATGCAGACAGTAAATGAACAAATTCACACAAACAAAAAAAAATACTGGCAACCAAAATATTTTTTTCAAACTTTACTACAGCCGAACAGAAACATGCTTTATAAGGCGAGTAGCTGTGTATTAGAACATTTCAGGAGATCATGTGATCAATTATGCAAATTGCGTGGACGAAGGGCAATAGCCCCATTTATATAACTAAGTAGTATACCAATGTACTACCATACCATGCAGAAAGGGTGCAAATATAAAAGAAATGTTGAATTGAGAAGGAAACATCACTTGAACAGACGACAACAGGAAAAATGGCTACTTGACACATAGATATGAAGGCCAAGTGCACTTCTTTTCATAAAAGAAAGTTTTTTCAAAGATATGTTATTTTTAAGGTTGATAACTACAAAACTATGGAGAAGAACTGACCTCAAGAATTTGTTGTGCTTTCATTTCTCTTTCCTTACGCAGCTCTTCTTGCTTTCTAATTTTGTCTTGTTGCCTAGCAACCTTAAGCTGCTCCTGCTGTTTCTGCTTTTCAATGACTGAAGAATATAGAATAACACTTAGTCAGTTTAACACTTTTTGTAAATTTTAATCCATGCATATACTTCTGGAAAACAAGATGCCACTTTGCAAGTAACTTATTCATTTTTTGTGAATTTTTGTACCTTCACAATTTATCTAAATAGTAAACATTCCAATAATTCTTACATTTAAGTTGTTGATGACGTCTAAGTTCTGCCTTCTGTTTCTGTTTTTCTAATCTCTTTTGAAATTTCAACTCAGCATCTTTCTGAGCAAGTTCTGAAATATAAGGAACACCATTTTTTAAGGGTTAAAATAATAAGTTCAAATGAATAAATCGCTGGACTTGAATTCCCCCTTTCAAACCAAAACATCCAGTATTTTATGGTAAGCACATCTGAGGAAAGTACTTTTGTTTCCACTTATTTTCATCAATGACTCTCCAATCATGAAGTCCAAAGAAGACCTACCTTCCTGTTCCAATTTTTTCTTCATGTTGAGCTCCAGTAACTGTTTAGCTAAAGCCTGTTGTTTCATACAACGTTCTCGCTTCTTCCGTGCATTAGCCTGCATTCTGGCCCTCTTTCCACGTGACATTTCAATCCTTTCAAGAACTTCTAGCTCGGTTAATTTAACTGGTGAGTTTTCACCCTCTAGCATTTCAAAGAAGTCACCAACATTGACTTTGGTATTAAAGGTGAAATTGTCACGAGTCAGATCCGTTATTGTATGTCGATCCAAGTACTAAAAAGAAAATTTATCAAAATGATAGTCTTTCATTTCCAAATTATGGAAGCAGATAACATTGGAGCACATGTTCATAAAAATAAAAGTAATCTTATTGCTAGTGGATAAATCATGGTCAATGTGCATGGCTGGTTGGTACAGATGTACCGTGAGATGAAAATCTGCCCAATAGTGGTCAACTCAGTAGTGACTACACAGACAAATTGCTGCCAATGCATTTTCCAAAAGTATGGTATCAGAACTTACTCTCATGACATCTGGAATGGTCTTCATCTTCTTTCCACATGGAGCAAAATACAGAACTTCTCCAACAATACCTCTCCGACCCATAGAATGTATTGTAGTCTGTCTTGTCCAGCCATGTTCTAACGCTATTCTTAGCTCATTCTCATCTGTCACAGTTTTACGCTTC